AGAGATCGAGACCATCCTGGTCAACATGGTAAAACCCCGTCTCTACTAAAAAATACAAAAAAATTAGCTGGGCATGGTGGGGCGTGCCTGTAATCCGAGCTACTCAGGAAGCTGAGGCAGAAGAATTGCCTGAACCCAGGAGGCGGAGGTTGCGGTGAGCCAACATCACGCCATTGCACTCCAGCCTGGGTAACAAGAGCGAAACTCCGTCTCAAAAAAAAAAAAAGTCTGAGAGCCAATGGCTTCACAGCTGAATTTTACCAAACATTTGAGGAAGAACTAATACCAACAATACTCAAACTATTCCAAAAAATACAGAAGGAGAGAATGCTGCCAAATGCATTCTGTGAGGCCAGTATTACCCTAACACCAAAGCCGAAGACACTTCAGAAAAACAAAACTACAGGCCAATGTGTTTGAAGAATATTGACGCAAAAAATCCTAAACAAAGTACTAGCAAACCAAATTCAACAATACCTTTAAAACATCATTTGTCATGATTGACTAGGATTTTTCCCAGAGATGAAAGTTTCAACATATGCAAATCAATCAATGTTATACATCATACAAAGAGAATGAAAGATAAAAACCATAGATCATTTCAGTTCATGCTATAAAAGCATAATAAAAGTCAACATTCCTTCATAATTAAAAATTCCTCAAACACTGGGTATTGAAGGAACATACCTCAACACAATGAAAGTCATATATGACAGGGCAATAGCTAGTCTCATACTAAATGGAGAAAAGCCTTTTCACTAAGATCTGAAACAAGATGAAGATGCCCACATTCATGACTGTTATACAGTATAGTACTGGAAGTCCTAGCTAGAGCAATCAGACAAGACAAAGAAATAAAGGGCATCCACACTGTAAAAGAAAAAGTCAAATTATCCTTGTTTGCGGATTATACGATCTTATCTTTGGAAAAACCTAAAGACCCCAAAAAGAATCATTACTTCCGGTAAACAAATTCAGTAAAGTTGCAGAATACAAAATCGACATACAAAAATCAGTAGCATTTCTATATGCCAACAATGAACAATCTGAAAAAGAAATCAAAAAAGTAATCCCATTTCTAATAGCCACAAATAAAATTAAAACCTAGGAATTAACTGAACCAAAGAAGTGAACAATCTCTACAATGAAAACTATAAAACATTGATGAAAGAAATTGAAAAGGACACAAAAGAGTGGAAAGATATTCCATGCCTATGGATTGGAAGACTCAATGTTGTTAAAAATGTCCATACTACTCAAAGAAATCTACAGATTCAATGCAATGCCTATGAAAATGCCAATGGCATTTTTCACAGAAATTTTTATAATCCTAAAATTTATATGGATTAACATCACCAAAGACCCAGACTGCCACAAAAGACCCAGAAAGCCAAAGCTAACCTGAGCAAAAAGAACAAAACTGGAAGAATCAGATTACCTGATTTCAAATTCTACTGCATAGCTATGGTAATAAAAACAGCATGTATTGGCATAAAAACAGACACATAGACCAATAGAACAGAATAGAGAACCCAGAAACAAATCCATACATCTACAGTGAACTCGCATTCAACAAAGCTGCTAAGAACATACATGGGGGCTGGGAGCAGTTACTCACACCTGTAATCCCAGCATTTTGGGAGGCCAAAGCGAGCAAATCACTTGAGATCAGGAGTTCAAGACCAGTCTGGCCACCACAGTGAAACCCCATCTCTACTAAAAATACAAAAATTAGTCAGGCATGATGGCACACACCTATAATTCCAGCTATTCTGACTGCTGAGGCATGAGAATCGCTTGAACCCAGGAGCCAGAGGTTGCAGTGAGCCAAGATCACACCCATTGTACCACTACACTGCAGGCTGAGTGAAAGAGCAAAACTGCATCTCAAGAAAAAGAAAAAACACAATAGATGAAATAGAACAGCAGAAAAACATGCCAAACACATTATATCTCTTTTTTCAATAATAACTTTTTTAAACTTGTTCAAGGAATCTGCCCACCTTGGCCACCCCAAAGTGCTAGGATTGCAGGTATGAGACACCACGCCTGGCCAACACATTATGTATCTCTACTCATTGCTGATAAGATCTCATTCCTTTTTATGGCTGAATAGTACTCCATTGTGTATATGTACCAAATTTTTTCTATCCATTCCTCTGTTGACAGATACTTAGATTGCTTCCAAATCTTGACTATTGTGAATAATACTCCAATAAACATGACAGAGCAGTTATCTCTTCAATATCCTGATTTTCAATAAATGGGGGTGGGAAAACGGGATATCCATATGCATAAGATTGAAAACAGACCCCTATCTCTCATCATATACAAAAATCAAACAAAAATTAAAGATTTAAATGTAAGACCTCAAAATATGGTTGGGTGCAGTGGCTCATGTTTGTAATCTCAGCAGAGGATTTGGGAGGCTAAGGCAGGTGGATCACCTGAGGTCAAGAGTTTGGGATCAGCCTGGCCAACATGGTGAAACCCGTCTCTCCTACAAATACAAAAACAAATTAGCCAGGCATGATGGCGGGCATCTGTAATTCCAGCTACTAGAGAGACTGAGCCAGGAGAATCGCTTGAATCAGTGAGGTAGAGGTTGCAGTGAGTTGAGATCGCCCAATTGCACTCGAGCCTGAGCAACAAGGGCAAAACTCCGAATCGGGAAAAAAAAAAAAAGACCTCAAAATATAAAACTACTATGACAAAACATTGGGGAAACTCTCCAGGGTTTCATTTGGGTAAAAATCTTCTTGAGTAATAGTCCACAAGCACAGGTAACCAAAGCAAAAGTGGACAAATGGGATCACATCAAGTTAAAAAGCTTCTGCACAGCAAAGGAAACATCAACAAACTGAAGAGACAATACACAGGATGAAAGCAAATATCTGCAAACTACTATCTGACAAGAGATTAATAACTAGAATAGATAAGAAGCTCAAACGACTCTATAGGAAAAAAATCCAATAATACAATTTTTAAATGGGCAAAATAACTGAATAAATCTTTCTCAAAAGAAGACATACAAATGGCAAACAGGTATACGAAAAGGTGCTCAACATCACTGATCATGAGACCAATGCAAATCAAAACTACAATGAGATATCATCTTACCCTAGTTAAAATGGCTTTTATTCCAAAAGGCAGGAAATAACAAATGCTGGCAAGGATGTGGAGAAGAGGGAACCCTCATACATTGCTGGTGAGAATGTGTAAACTAGTAAAAACCACTGTGGAGAACAGATCGAAGGTTCTGCAAAAATCTAAAAAGAGAGTTATCATATGATCCAGCAATCTCACTGCCAGGCATATAATCAAAAGAAAGAAAAGCACGATATTGAAGAGGTATCTGCACACCCAAGTTTACCGGAGTGTTATTCACAATAGCCAAGATTTGGAAGCAACCTAAGTGCTCATTAGCAGATGAATGGATAAAGAAAATGTGGCCGGATGCAGTGGCTCACGCCTGTGGTCCCAGCACTTTGGGAGGCCAAGATGGGCAGATCACGAGGTCAAGAGATCAAGACCATCCTGGCCAACATGGTGAAACCGCATCTCTACTAAAAATACAAAAATTAGATGGGTATGGTGGTGCGCGCCTGTAGTCCCAGCTGCTCGGGAGGCTGAGGCAGAAGAATTGCTTGAACCCAGGAGGCGGAGGTTACAGTGAGCCGAGAGGTGCCTGGCAACTGAGTGAGACTCTGTCTCAAAAAAAAAAAAAAAAAAAAAAAAAAATATATATATATATATATATATATATATATATATATATGGTACATACACACAATGGAGTACTATTCAGCCATAAAAGAAGAATGAGATTCTGTCATTAGCAACAACATGGATGGAACTGGAGGTCATTACATTAAGTGAAATAAGTCAGGCACAGAAAAACAAACTTCTCATATTCTCACTTATTTATGGCAGCTAAAAATTAAAACAATTGAACATACGGAGATAGAGTAGAATGATGGTTACCAGAAGCTGGGAAGGATAATCAGGGTGAGGGCAAATGGAAATGGTTAATAGGTACCAAAAAAAAAAAAAAAAAGAATTAATAAATAAAACCTAGTATTTAATAGCACAACCGGGTGAACACAGTCAATCCTAATTTAATTGTACATCTTTAAATAACTGTAAAAGTATAATTGCATTGCTTGTAACACAAAGCATAAATGTTTGAGACGAGGGATACCCTATTTACCATGATGTTACCACTACATATTGCTTGCCTGTATCAAAGTATCTCATATAACCCATAAATATATGTACCCACAAAAATTAAAGTTCACTTATCAGAGCAAAATTTTCCTTTCTAATTCCTAACAGAAATGAAAGAACTTTTTAGAAACACGTAGGCTGGGTGAGGAAAGAGCAATGAGTTGGAGTTAAAGCTCTTTTTCATATATTCCTGGAAAATCTTAGACGAGACATTTAGACATAAGCTACTTATAAAAGTAAGCAAGCAGTTTTTGAAATTTGTGTTTTGGCTTTTGTTTTCTTAACCAAATGTAAAATTAATGACCGCCATTGGGTCCCAAGAGCACATCCAAGGAATGTTTCCGGCACAGAGACCCACCCCCCTCGCTCTTGCTCTGCATTGCTCCAATCATCTCTAGGCCACGCCTGCCACAGAGCATTGTTGGGAGGCGGGGTCTAGATAGATAAATCCTGGCGCGCCCAAGTCACCTGACGTTTCACGTTCTTAGTCATCGGACGTGTATCCGGCTCTGCGCCGGGAAGGCCCAAGATTCCTTCGCGCGAGGCCCAGCCGCCCGACCGGCGACGATCCCCCAGCAACCCGGACTGCGGCCTCCCAGAGGCGCCCCTGGAGCTCCGAGGACTCGCCTCCCGTAACGCGGTCCTGCCCCCCGGTTCGTCCCAGTCCGCCTCGCCTACCACCGACACCTGTTACCTCACAGAGGACTTCACCGCCCGCGCTCCCCACGTCCCCTGCCAGGCCCAGGAACGCCGTCCGCGGCGCCGTCGAGGTGATGGGCAGCCGGCCCCGCAGCCCCAGCGCCTGCCCTGCGCCCTGGTGGGGACCGCAGCCAGGAGGACCCGGCCCTGCCAAGCGCCGCCGACTGGAGGAGCCCGCGGCCCCCGAACCCCGCGTGGCGCGCAGCCTGGAAGACCCGCCGGGGGGCCCGGCCGCCGACGCGCTCACCTTCGTGCTGGTCCTGGCCGCGGGCAGTTCCCTGAAGGTGTCCCGGGACGACGACAGCCTGGTGCTGGTGCCCGCGCCCACGTCGATCATGCGAGTGTCTCTCGGTGGACACACCCTCTTCCTGATCCCCGAGGTCCTCCTGAGCTCCGTCGACGAACGCGCGGGAGCGCAGGGCGACTTGTCTGCCTTCCTAGTAGCGGATGTTTTCCTGGGCGCTCTCGGGGAGGACGTCGTCGTCGAGCAGGAATTCTGCGCGTCTGTCCCAGAGGTCGCCGCCCAGGAGGAGGTCTACGAGGAGGACGCGGACGCCGAGTTCCTGGGGCTCTGGATGGACTCCCCAGCCGGCTCAGCCGCTGGGCTCTACCCCTCCGCTGAAAGTATGTACGGCCCCCAGCCGGAGGGCCTCATCCCAGAGCCCTGTGCTCTGGCCCCCAGCCCCAGTTCAGAGAGACGCTCCCCACGCCCCATCTGCGACCAGGAATTCCACTTTCTGGAGCCTGTCCCCAGCTCACCTCTCCAACCTCTACCTCCCTTTCCGAGTCCAGGTCCCCACGCGCGCTCGGAGCTCCCAGAGCGCCCTCTGTGCAAGGCCCGGAGACGCCTGTTTCAGGAATGAACTGCCTCCCACAATCCCTTGCCACCGGCTGCGGGTTCTGGTGGATCCTCCTAGATTCACTGTGAGGACTTGCCACGGCTTGGAAATGCAGCATCTTCATTCGTCGGCACTGAGCAGTTGCATTACTGTTGTTTGAGTGGGTTGGTTGATTGGCTGGCTAGTTGGTTGGATTTTTAGCAGAATTACTTGGTAAGTGGCAGGCAAGGACATTAAAAAAGAAAAGTAGATTCTGGCAAGCACCTTTACCAAGGAGAGTAGACCACACATAGCCAGTCATGGATTTTCAGATCCCTTGCCTTTGCTGTAGGAGATGTTACTTCTCTCTTTGTCACCTTCAGCCAGTTCTATCCTCCGTTTCACCCTACTCTGGCTTAAAGCTCCCTTCACTTTTCTTTCAAATTCCCCCCTTTTTTTAATCACCTTCCCAGACACCTGTCAGTTCTCTCCAATCCAGATCATTGTCTTCCCTTGTTTTTGCAATTGTGAATTTACCTATATGGTTTCTCCCAACATCCTCTGAGGTGCTACTGACCACTAATTTTATTTTCCACTTGCTTTCCTTAACACCTTTTCCTGGACCTGGACAATCAAGATAAATGCATATTAGATTAGTTAGTAAACGACATTCCAATGTAATGCACTGGACCTTTTGGAAATGTTTCTACAAATAAGAATTTAAAAATTAGTGAAAGCAGTATTTACCGAGGGAAAGTAGGGAGGAAGTTGTGACACTTTCATTCCAGCAGCAGCTTGTACATGACATATTCCACGTACTTTAACCAATGGGTATTGCTGAATTTCAGGGCAGTCTGGGCTTAACCTTGATTTTCTCTCAGTGGGACTCATTCAACTTCACAGCATGGACATTTGGTCTAATTTATTTTTGACAGTTTTTTCATGTTCTTGGGCCCATCACCCTGAATTGGCAGTCGTTTTTTCTTAGTACTATTTCCTTAATGTCTTTTTTACTATAAAGAAGAGAAAATATTACAGATAATGTTGTCATATCCTTTGATCCCCACTCTTCTCCATTCCCAGGAGATTCACATCATGACACGAAGTTGGTGGATATCATTCTAGTTAATATATAAATACTACATATACATGTGTATAGATATAAATAAGCAATGTTTATGTTGTTTTCTGGACAATTAAATTTACATAACTACCTCATATTCTCCAGTTTACTTTTTTCTCAAGTTTATTTTTGAGATAACTTATAAATATGTGTAGTTCATTTCTTCTAAAAATTCCAGTATACATTATATGAATGTCATATTTTATTTTTTATTTATTTGTTGATTTATTGGAGAAAGGGTCTCATTCCGTCACCCAGGATGGAGGGCAGTGGCACCATCAAGTGGCCTTGAATTCCTGGGCTCAAGAGATACTTCTAATTTTTTTTTTTTTTTTTTTTTTAGAGATGGAGTCTCACTATGTTCCCCAGACTGGTTTCAAGCTAATGGCCTTAAGCAGTCTTCTTGACTCAGCCTCCAAAGGTGCTGGAATTACAGGAGTGCACTGCTGTACCTGGCTTCAGATTTATTTTTATTTCTTTTTTGGTTTGGGCTTTTTTTTTTTTTAAGATACCAGTTTTCTATCAGTTGGAGTATAACAGTGCAATCATAGCTCACTACAGATTTGAACTCCTGTGCTTAAGCAATTCCTCTCATCTCAGCCTCCCAAATGGCAGGGACTACGAACCACTATATCCAGATAATTTTTATTTTTTTGTGGAGAGAGGGTCTTGCTTGGTTGCCCAGGCTTATCTTGAACTCCTGGACTCAAGTGATCCTCCTGCCTCCCAAAATGCTGGGATGACAGGCATGAGTCACTCCACCTATCCTCAGATTTCTTAAATATGACACCAAAAGCACAATCCTTAAAGAAATATTCTGATGACTTGGGCTTCATCCAAACAAAGAACTTCTGTTCTCCAAAGACACTGTTAATGAAAATGAAAAGACAAGCCACAAATGGAAAAAAACATATCGCAATGCAAATATTTAATAAAGGACTTGTGTGTCTAGAACAATAAAGAACTTTCAAAATTGAGTAGGAAGGTAATAGGGTGGGCGTGGTGTCTGCTTGTAATCCCAGCACTTTATAATGGCTGTTAGTGTTCTTGCTTGCTGGTTCTATCATTTCTGTTAATCTACATCGCTTTCTACCAACTATTTTTTGTTTTATTTTTGACAGATAATTATATATATTTATGGGGTACAATGGATGTTTTAATATATGTTTACATTGTAGAAGGATTAAATCAAGCTAATTAACAAATTCATCACCTCACATATTTTTTTGTGATGAAACATTAAAAACCTACTCTTTCAGCAATTTTGAAAAATACATTGCATTTTTATTATAGTCACCATTCTGAGCAACTGATCACTAAAGATTATTCCTCCTGTCTAACTGAAACTGTGTACCCTTTGATCAACATCTCCCTTTTCCCCATCCACCCTCCTCCTCCAGCCTCTGGTAGTCATTGTTCTACTCTACTTCTGCAAGTTCAACTGTTTTAGATTCTGCATGTAAGTGGAATCTTAGGGCATTTGTCCTTCTGGGCCTGGCTTATTTCACTTCTCATAATGTCCTCCAGGTTCTTAATGTTGTCACAAATGACAGAATTTCCTTCTATTTTAAGGCTGAATGGTATTCCATTGTGTATATATGCCACATTTTCTTTACCTATTTATATAATGATAAATACATAGGTTGGCTCCATATCTTAGCTACTCATAATAATGCTGCAGTGAACATGGGAGTGCAGATACAAAACTGTTATCCACATGCAGAGGAATGAAATTGGATTCTTGTTTCATATCATCTAAAAAAATTCAACTTGGCTGGGCATGACATCTCATACCTGTAATCCCAGCACTTTGAGAGTCCGAGGTGAGTGGATTGCTTGAGCTCAGGAGCTCGAGACCAGCCTGGACAACAGAGTGAAACCACTTCTCTACAAAAAATACAAAAATTAGCTGGACATGGTGGCTTGCATCTGTAATCCCAGCTACTTGGGAGGCTGAGGTGGCAGGACTGCTTGACCCCAGTAGGCAGAGGTTGCAGTGAGCTGAGACCAGGTCACTGTACTCCAGCTGGAGTGACAGAGGGAGACTACATCTCAAAAAACAAGCAAACAAGCAAACTATTGGGAAGTAAATTTGGCAAAGAAAATATGATTCGATTTTTAAAGAAAAGAAATGAACAACTCAAAATGGTTTAAAGACTTAAATGTAAGACCGCAAACTGTAAAAAGGCTAGGAGAAAACAGAGGGAGAAGGCTTCATGACATCGTCTAGGTAAAGGTTTTTTGGATATGACCCCAAAACACAGGTAAGAAAAGCAAAAATAAGCAAATGGGATAGAATCAAACTATCTTGATTGCAATGGTGATCAGATGATTATATACATTAAAAAACACAGAACTAAGTGTTTTAATGTATATAAACACACAAATGAGTGCATGAAAAACTAGTGAAATTTGAATAAAACAGGTAAGTTATCAATGACAACTCTGTAGTTAGTATATTGCGCTATAGTTATGCAAAATGTCACTATTAAGGAAAATTGGGTGAAAAGCTTACATGAGCTCTTTGTATTATTTCTTACAGCTGTATGTAAATCTATAGTTGTCTCAAAATTAAAAATTGAAAAAAGGAAACAGCTAATTACAAACATATTCAGCCTCATTAATCATCAGGAAAATGGTAGCAATGTTTTATATTGATCTGGGTGTTCATCAGATGTGTGGTTCACTTTGTGATCATTTGTCATGATCTATACTCATGATTCATGCACTCATGACTCATAGTTTAATTTAAAAATTTTACTTTTAAAATTAGTTATTAATATCAAAGTAGAACTTTAGAATTTTAAAATTAAAAAGGAAGCTTTCATGTGACTTAATTCATTAAGAAGACATAATCCTAAATTGAGTATGCGACTAATAACAGAGCTTGAAGTAAATGAGTCACAAAAACTGATAGAACTGAAAGAAGTAGACAAATCCTTGGAGATTTCCATGGAAATCCGTGGAACTGAAGATTTCAACATTCCTCTCTCAGTTATGGATTAAACAAGTAGAAAAACAGTAAGAATTTAGAAGAGTAGAAAAACACTATCAATCAACATGACCTGTTTGACATCTATAGATAACTGCACCCTGGGTCAAAAAACACTATCATTACAAACACACCTATAACATTCACAAAGATAGACTATATTCCAGGATAACACAAGTCTCAATAACTTTAAAGAAATTAAAAACAATCAAAGTGTGTTCTCTAACAAAATTAAACTTGAAATTAATAACAGAAAGGTATTTGGAAAATCGCCTAAAATACTTGTAAATTCAATAGCACACTTCTAAACAATCTATAGAGCAAAGAAGATATGACAGAGAATTAGAATATTTTTAAGCTGAATGAAAATGAAAACACAACATAGCAAAACTTGTGAGATGAAACTAAAGTCATGCTTAGAGGGAAATGTGTAGTATTAAATCCTTAAAAGAAAATATAGAAGGATCTAAAATTCATAACGGAAACTTCTATCTTTAGAAAGTAAGAAAAAGATAATCAAACTGACCTCAAAATAAGCAGAATGAAGAAAATAAAGATGACTAAAAATCAATAAACTATGAAATGGATAACCAATAAGAAAATAAATAAATCTGGTTTATATGTGATCAATTAAATTGATAAACTGAAAGTGGTTAAGAAAAAAGCGATTGCCAATATCAGGCATAAGAGAAAACTAATAAATATCCTATAGACATTATAAGAATAAAGGAATATTTATTAACAGTTGCTTGTTTGTTTGTTTTTGAGACAGAGTCTCATACTGTTGCCCAGGCTGGAGTGCAATGGCAGGATCTTGGCTCACTGCAACCTCTGCCTCCCTGGGTACAAGTGATTCTCCTGCTTCAGCCTTCCAAGTAGCTAGGATTACAGGCGCCCACCACCATGCCTGGCTAATTTTTTGTATTTTTA